TAATCCTATAAGTGACTTTACTTTAGAAAACAAAACCTGCATAAAATAGAATTAATAATTTGTAACAAGAAAAACACTTCTATTACAGATAGCATGGTTTCATTCGACGAAGAGATCAGCAAAAAAATAAATAAAAGGATCTTATGGATTAAAACAAATCTGCCGTTTAGGATTTTTTTTTTTTATCTAAATTTTCTTTCCCCACCTATGCACTCCTTTGTAACATTAACCTATCACTTTTTGATCTTAGATGTTATCCCATAAACTGGCTCATTGTGTAACACCACTACCTGCAAACGTTTTGGGTGTTAAACAAACCTGCCACCTTGTTTTACAAGCATGTTACACAGCTTGGGTTTACTTGCACTTTGAATTCAGGTTAACTCCCAGTCCTGCTGACTGAAATAAAAGCAAGTCTTTAAAAGTTATTTCTATCATTTTAAATATCTTTTCATGAGACTAAATCAAAGGAAAACAATCCAATAACCAGAATTGGTATTTAAAAAATTCAAAGAAATTTCATTTTTAAGCCATATCACTCAGACCTAATCCAATAAAAGGATAAATTCTTAAAAAAAGGTCACATGTTTAAAGGGAATTGTTTTCAGAAAAAATACCTCAAGTACTTCAAGTAATAAATTAAAAATCCTATAAATAACCATTCAGATCACCCGAGATTTTAAACCCCAAGGAGCCTAACATATGTCTACTAACTGAATGGATAAAAAATAAAATAAAAAATTAGTCATTAATTCAGTAACTGTTTAGCTTTACATGACACATTTTTCATGGTAAACATATACATATATATATACATATGTATATATACATATGTATATATATATATGTATATATATATATATATATATATATATATATATATATATATATATATATATATATATATATATATATATATATATATATATATATATATATATATATATATATATATATATATATATGTGTGTGTAATATATGTATTACAATGTTGAAATTTTCCAAATTGTTCTGAATATTTTATATGTAGGGACACGTGCGGCTGATTAAAGGCCAACTTGTACGGTGGCTGAGGGGTCAAAACGCAGTGCAAATACATTATTTAAACAGGAAACTCAAAAGTTAGACCAGCAAACACAACAATAATAGCAACACATCCACACTAAATGCATGTTGAGAAAAAATGCTGCAAACAGGTAAACCAACAGCAAGTTTAGAAAACCTGCAAATTATCGCAGCATAACTGAAGTGCTCCAGACCACTAGTGGGAGACGATTATGAACTTATATGGGATCAAAACATAAACATTACTAGGTTAGATAAATCTGAAGAGAAAATGAAGCAAGGATAGGTTTTTATTTTATTTTATTCATTTGAAATAATTAATCTCTCTTTGCATCTTTTTATGCCTTTACTAAGGAAGCTTTTCTCAATGTGATTTCATAATTGTCTTCCCTTCGTGGTCTGGAGAACTCCCATTATATGACACTAGTTAGCAGTTTATCTTTACTGGCGGTGGGTTTTCTTCTACCTGCAGCAGTTTTTTCTTTTGCATGTTTTTTTTTTTTAGCATCGTTTCGCAGCAGCTTTATTTGTTGCTGTGCTCCATTTTCTGTGATCTCAGCTTCTCTTAATTTGCAACCGTTTTTTTTTTTTTTTCAAACTAGCAGCATTTTTTCATTGCTTGCATTATGGGGTTTGTGTGTTGATCTCATTTTTGTGTTTGCTAATCTGTTTTTTTTTTTAGATTTTTGGAGCTTTTGAATTTGCTGTGAAATTAGCATAGCAGTATTGACAACATATCCGAATGCTGTTTTTTCTGTGGCATACTGATCATACCAATTGTGCATTGATTGCAAATATGCTTTCCATATTTTTTAAATGGAAAAGAAAACAGTTTATGATTGCATATTCCTTTTATATTTAGATACATATTTTAGAAGTATATTGCAGTTTAATTGTCTGTATGCAAATATAGTTTGTTTAATAATTCTGAAAAATGTGTGTTTCTTTTTTGTATCTCAACTCAGAAAATGGTTAGTTTAGATTCTTAACAAAGAGTGTAATATTCCAGCTTTCTTCCCCTTTAAGTTTTGATGAAAATGGCTTACCAACAATGGAACCTCAAATTGGCGGTTGCTTAAGAAAATTAGAATATCGTAGAAACGTTATAGCTATAGTTATAGAAGGTTGAGTGGAAGGACAAACTGTGGTAGGAGAAGCCGTGCCAGCAACAAAAACAACCACAACCGCAATTTGGACCGTCAAGCAAAGGCAGTGCAACAATTCAGGGGAGCTTCAAAGATACTAAATTAGAGCTGGAGTTAGTGCTTCTGGAGCCACTGTGCACAGACAAACTCTATCCTGAACCAGAAATTACACATAGATACACACATACAATGATTGTATGCAGGGGGAAAAGATTTATTTTGCAATGATTATTTAATAAACAATGCTAAATAAACTAAAGAGACAATAGTTTATCTCTGACTCATTCTTTTTTTTTTAGGTATCACATCCTTTCAAGGCAACATAACTGTTTCTGAAAGGTAAAGCCCTTGCAATGCGGCACCCAATGAAGCCCTGCACTGACAAGGTTGTGCATGTTTCTCCTCCAGCTGCTGCTGTGCACTGCTGGTCAGCTGGGTGAGAGAAAGCTACTACTCCATTTCCTTATAACAAACACCGAATAGAGTGTTTAGAAGAAAAAAAAAAACATCAGTGAAAAATAGACTGTGATTTTATGGAAGAAAACTCACAATTGTTATTACATTGTAATTATAATGCTGTTTTATCATAATTTGGACTATTCTATACGGTATACTTTTTTTTTAAGATTTGTGCAAATACTACAAAAAAGTGAAAGCACGCTGTATGCCATCGATGCTATACTGACAAAACTTGCACAAACTAATAAAACATCTGTTTAGCTACGAGTTTCCAGGAAACAGAACCATGTGATATGTAGTCCACCTCACTATAGAGCAAAAGCAATATTTCCATCTGAAAAAACAGATTTCATTGAATAAAATACTTCTGGCTAGCGTATGCTATTTTTGCAATTAAAACAACAAAAAACAAAACATAGCAGTATTAATTTCCTACTACATTACTTTCGAAAAACTTTCAACCAACATACTGAAGACACAGAGAGCCTGATCATGACACCAAAAAAACCAACTATGATTTATTGCTTTTACTATTCTGATATTGCAGGTTCCACCAGTAATCACTAAAGCAGGTATCATAATAGTGTAAGAATCTCACTTAACTGTAATATGCAATTATCTTCCACTGCGCTATAATTTAGATAGCTTCTGTCCAAACTTTATTTATTCATTTTATAGTAAAATCCATCTGTATATATGCTATTGTACATAACTGCAAAAACCCTTTTTATAGTAATATCCACCTGTATATTTTATTCGGTACATATGCAGCTGTAAATTTAGTTTATAACACTAGTTATCTATATATTATATTCATCTATTAGAAAGATTCTGTTTATAATGGTATTCATCTCTAAACTTATTCAGTAGAAACCCATTATTTATCCTGCACTTGCTGCTATTGCACTTCTGGTTAGACCTAAACTGCATTTCGTTGCCTTGTACCTGTGTAATGACAGTAAAGTTGAATCTAATCTAATCTCAGACCAACCTCCTTCTAGTTTAAAAACAGATTTGTTGTTATATTTTAACATGAAAAGGAAGCTACGAATATTTAATAATTCCATTCAAATGATTTAAGTTTGGTACACAAACTCATGTTTTGATTAAAACACAGATTTATTTTATTGATCTATATTTTTAAGCTCCTAAAATTTATTTTTGTAGCGCAGGGCAGTGCCAGCTGACTGCCTCCTTCTCCTTGTGGGATCGGAGGACAGACGCTCAGAGAGCCAATGCTGACTACCACGCTGCCTGCCAGCAGGCATGAATGGGGACGCGTTTAAGGTTAGAGGGCTTTTATGAATGGGCCGGCCTCACGCCACCGCAGCGCAAACATCCCCCCATCCGGTGCCCTTCGCCCTTCCAAACCCCCCCCCCACCACCACACCAACACAGGCGCGCAGGCATGTCCAGCGGCCAGCCTGGCGCGCACCACAGAAAGACTCTAATATAACCGTACCGCTTGGTTTTTAAACACCGACCCACTGGTGTCGTGTAAACAGGTCCGTGGGCCTACATTTTGCACACACACACAAAAAAAAATAAATAAATAAAACGATCCTGCGTGGCGCACATAAAAAAATCGAATCAGATCCAACATTTCTTCCCTGTGGAAATCAGCCGTCGTTTCCAATCCGTTTACCAACTATTCTTTTTTTTATGAATGGAGCGCGGCAGGCTATGCAAATGAGGTGCGATTGAGAAAGAGATGGCGGCAGAGGCATATCGGATATCTCATATCCTGTGAGACTTCCCCCCTTCGGTTGGAAGCAAACACACAGATGTGACCAAACACAAGAGGAGCGTAAAAATAAAACGCGCAGCCGCCGTTTTGGCGCAACTAACTGCGCCCCAAATCCCAGCAGTGGTTCCTCTATCTTTATTTTCTTTATTTAGTTTTTGTACTTATTTTTTTTTGTAAGGGTGCAGCCTGCTCGGCGTGTTTGAGTTCCCAAGTTACGCTGCAACAGGGCCTCGCTGCTGCGCTCTCGCTTGAGATCCTTTCAGAAAATGTTTCCGATCCACCCACGCTTATTCCCCCCTTCCTCCCCCTCCTCTCCTTCTCCTTTCTCTCTCGCCTTCTTTAGACTGTAGTCTTCAACACAATATAGGGGGGGGGGGCATAAAAACAAATCAAACAAAAATAGTTAAAAAGCGCACACAGTTGAAGCATTAGATCAGCATAAACACAAGCAGATATGATAAGTAGAAGCAGTCTATAGATTCTAAGGGGAGTTTGCACATTGCTCCAAGCACCTCCAACTTAGAAGCACAGAGAAAAAAGAAAAAAAAAAAGGGGGGGGGGGGTCTTTAAGCAGTATTACTTACTCGTTTGGGTGTGTTTCCTCTATCATTTTTTCGTTTCACCTCAGGTAATGTACCACGGCGGTTGCATACTTTTCACTCGTCATTCTTCCACCTCCGATCCTGTGTCCGATTGCGCATAAATCCCCCCTGCGCCTTTGTGCGAGTGTCGGCTCTCGGGCTTTGCCCTCGACAGCCCTTTTTTTTTTCTCCTCTCTCTCCCTGAAATTCTCCCTCTTCTTCTCCTTCTTTCCTCCCCTGGAGCCACGCTGTTTTTCTTTTGGAGGAAAAAAGAAATGAACCTCCTCTCCTCCGTGTGGAACTTTAATACCCAATCAGTGGAGAAACGCAGGCTGCACTGCTAAATGTTGGTTTCCGAATCCAGCTCTTGATTCTCTCTACCCCCCCACCACCAAACACACACAAACACTCACACTCTCCCTCCCTCACACACGCTCCGGTTTTTGTTTTTTGTTTTTTTTAAGTCCTAAGGCGCATGTTTTCACCGACGACTCCGCTTCCAGTTGTGCGTAAGAAAAAAGCGCGTCTTCGCCGCTGTTGCCGAGGGGTGGCCCCGCTAGAGCCCCATCTCTCTCACTACTCCATGTTGGATAGCAGGCGGCAGCGCTGTTCCTACGACACCGGGGGGAGGAGAGAGTGAGGGAGGGAGTGGAGGGGGAGGGAGTGGAGGGGGAGGGAGGGAGGGTGGAGAGGGGAGCTGGGCGGAAACGATCACTTCGTGCTACATTTCGGTGGACTGTCCAAGACGCATGATGCATATAGTGCAAACCCAACCCCCCTAGCCATACATATTCCATTTCCCGGTGCGTGTCTGAAAACAAAACTACTTCAAAATACTAAAAAAATCTATATGTATGGATGTGTATATATATATATATACAGTGTTGGGAAAGTTCTCTTTCTACGTGAACTAGTTCAAAGTTCAGTTCACACATTTTAAAATGAACTAGTTCAGTTCATAGTTCACAATTCCAAAAAACGAACTAGTTCATAGTTCTTTTTTTTTCATTTTTTTTTTCATATATTGCTCAATTACACCATAGCCTACTGTAGAACCACAGACAGCAATTATTTTATCAGTTGTAATACTAAAACTGTGCGTCAGATTTCATCTTCATATCCAGTTTTGAATCCTTATCCAACCAGGGTTTACATTAGCATTGAGGGGACAGCATTTCCATTCACTTCACATTAGTAGCAGCTGCAGCTTTCACCCCTACAGTATATTCTCAAAAACATCAGGAAAAATGTGCTGCTTGAATGGTCTTTTTTATGAGTAATTATTAAAAGAAAAATAGGAAAGTAGTCTTTAAGCTGCAAATGTTTTTTTTTTATTTTAATATTTTTTTCCATTTGAAATTCCATTTCAATACATACTAAAAAGGAATCCTGGAAAATTATAACAGGCAGGTTTAACAAACAAGTTACATGGATAGTAAAACCCTCAAGAACAGGGGTCTTCTTTTCCAGACCAAGAACCCCCAAACTGATGGCGAGATGGAGCGGGGACCCCCTAACTATATATATTGTATGAAATTGTGTCCTATAGTCACTCTATTACAGATGGAGTAATGTAATGAAATTAATTTCTCCCTGGGATTATTAAAGTTTTTCTGATTCTGATTCCTGGTTGATGGGACAGGTGTTGTGAAGGAAACGGTGCCCAGCTTGAAAGAGCTCCTGTGTGTCGCTGAATGTGAGCATTGATGACTGAAAGACATCTTTTGTCTCCATTTATCTGTTTACTACAGTGTGTTGATTTCATGTTAATGAGTATTTAAAGACATTTCAATTAGTGGGGGAAAAAATGCGGGGGGGGGGGGGGGGGGGGGAATATAAAAATATCAACTAACCATGCAGACCCTCATGCAGTACCTCCGTAGACCCCCTAGGGGTCGCGGATTCCCTGGTGAAGACCTCCGCTCAAGAAGATTTTACTAACACAAACTGAGGGACCAGGCTGAGGTAGGAATTTAAGGTTACTGAAGTGCGGATTTTTTTACTGAAAGCCGGTGGGCAAACTTGTTGCCATCATCCTCACCGACCACCTGGTCATAAACCTGTTTTAAGTCGCCTCCATACTGCTGTAGCTTCAACGCTGCATTTTGTTTTGATGACGCACGCGGCTGTAGGCTACGAGGCTGGTAGCTGCTGTTGCCAGATTGGGTGTTTTTCCCTCTACATATTAAGGCCTGTTTACGGTGTGATTTAGCCGGGGTTTCGCCTGGAGGGCTTTATAGAAATCTGGCAACCGATTGAAAGGAACTGAACTGAGAGAGCGTGCCGTTCACAGACACCAGAATGAACGAGTTCACAATAACGTTCATCAGGCAATAATGCAGTACGTTCAGTTCACGTTCGCCCAAAATATGAACGAGTTCATGAACTTTCGTTCAATGAACGCGTTCAGGCACAACACTGTATATATATATATATATATATATATATATATATATATATATATATATATATATATATGTGTGTGTAGTTATAATAGACAAACACTATATATTTTCCGAAAATATAAATGTACAGCTGCACCATTAATCTAAATTGCAATAAAAAGGTTGCAATACAAGTTATTTATCAATTAAGTTGTTTTTCTACATGGTATTGTTGGGAAAACCAATATTTTTATTGCTGTAATCTTGTTTTTGAATGTGATTCATGTAATTTCTTGGAAGTTAATATTTTGTTAAAGAGGCATTACAGACATTTCTGAAAATACCGCCACCTGTGGCCAAAACACAGAACTGCAACGCTCTTCTGCTTATTGTTGTAGCTTGTGATCGCACTTAACAAGATTTTTTAAGGGGAGTTGCCATTGGTTTCTGAGTTGAGCTCTATGCGGGCTTTTATAGTATCCACAAATCCATCCTTAATATATCGTTTAATAGTTTGCATGTTCTCTCTCCGGGTACTCCGGCTTCCTCCCGTAGTCCAAAAACATGAAGGTTAGGTTAATTGGCTTCTCTAAATTCTCCTTAGGTGTGAGTGTGTGAATGGTTGTTTGTCCTGGTTGTCTCTGTGTTGCCCTGTGATGGACTGGCGACCTGTCAAGGGTGAACCCTGCCTCTCACCCATGGACAGCTGGAGATAGGCCCCAGCACCCTCGTGACACCAGCAGGGATAAGCGTGATGGAAAATAGATGGATGGATTGTTTAATAGGTCAGACTCATTCGCTGAACAGTGCGGGAACATCTGAACCAAAGTAAATCCAGGGAAATAAGCTGGTCAAGATGCACTGGCTCTTAACTACTGAGCTGCGAGTCTGCTCATCAGTCATTGTTTTTCAATTAAATCTTACATAATGTATTTTTAGAATATAAAAAAATCATTACTGGATCTCAAATGTACTTGTCAAAGACTCGATCTTTTAAGCAATATCTGTAGGGACTTAAGCCTAAGCAGAAGAGTGTCAGCAGTCAACCATCTTGAGTGCTATCCAAATAATGCTAACAGTGAGGAAGGAGGTAGAAAAAGGAGACTTTACGCTTCCTAACAGACTTAGCTTTTCTTTACATTTGTATAACTTAACTTTTCTGTATTTTTTTTTCAGAAGGCTGTATTTCTATTTTTGCTTGCATCATCTATGTGCAATTCCATCGCATTAAGACTAAACAATGCCTTGATTCGCCACAGCAGTCTTAAGTTCCTTTCATACCAATGGCAATGTCCTTGATGTTGACCAGGAACTCCTATTTACTGTATTCAGATTCACTTTAGTCAACACGACTGTAGCTGATATTAGCAGTAAAGATGGCTGCTACTCACATGAACAGCAGTAAAACTTTCTTACTTCCATTGCTTTTAGCAGGTCTCTCTTTATTAGGTAGTATTTGGTCAGTCTTACTCATTATATCCTACAAACACATGTTTTTACGTGTGCAAGATACCGTGCAAAGACTGTTTTTGTCGTTGCTGTCGTGACCATTAATGAATGAGCTGGAAATTGGAAACCTTTACCTTTACCATCACTGTAACGTCCAACATCAGAAGTTAATGGAACGCACCATGAGGCACATTTTCCTACTGCTGTCTGTCTTTTTGATAAGAATGTACCCACCATTGCAGGTTTTTGATCTGGATTACTCTAATCTATGTTTAAATAGCATGCATCTAAAGTATTTTTAGCAAGAAGAGCATTAGCTAATGTCATCTGTAAAAATATTTCTTATCAATGATTTTGCCAAAGTACATCTCCATGCTTGCATTATTGCACATTTTGCTATGGAGATGACTATTATTGTTGTTTAGTTTGTTGAACATGTTTAATTGTTACATAATTTTACTATAATAAATGAAAACTGTCATTGTCTGGTCAAGTAAATCCTAATATGTGAACTGTACGTTAAGACCACATGAGACAATTTAAATTAGTCCCTTTATGGTGTCATGGTGCTATATATAAGAAATGGTGCTGGGCACCATTCTCAACATATAATCTGCATCAGTTTCTGCTGAACAGAATATTTCTTAGATTAGAATATCCCTGCACAACCACCTTTTGTTGGAAACTATAAGGGTGGTTAAGTGTTTTGACTACTTCTCGCGTTGGATCCAGTGAGAAATGTTCATGGCTTGATTTCAACCCTTTAGGTTTCATATGAGCCAAATAAAGTATGATCTGGAAAACCTAGCAGGTAGGGCACAGCTTCTCAAACTCATTGTAACCAGAACAGAGATCTGACCTCAGAGCTAAACATAACATATCAATGGCAACTTGTATTTGTTTTAAAATTTTCATAGCATTTATTTTGTTCACATTTACATTGCAAATAATTAATACTGTCACTTTTCTGAGTAAATTTAAAAGCAGCTCTTGCGCCACAGTTTGAAAACTGCTTGTTTTCCCCACCAACTGACTGATATGTAAGTCTGAGTAATACGATGAATGAAAATAAAACAAAAAAACAGAAGATTAATACATTTTAACTAATTACATATTTAATAATTTACTAATCATTAACACATTATTTACATAATATTTTTCTATTATCTCAGGACATTCAGGGATTGAATGATATATGGACTATAGACCTTTGGACCCCCACAGTGATGCACGGTTTTTAAACTTGTTACAAGACAGAATAAAAGATGAGTTAGTTTTAAGGAGTAACGGTTACAGTGTACCGGTAAGTGCATTTCTGATCAAACACAAGGAGATTAAAAGAATTTGCAAGCTAATCTTGTTAACCGTCATTGGTAATCCTGTAAACCTTGATCTACTTTAGAGTGAACGAGTATTTGACATTAGTCACAAAGATTGACGAATTTCCTTCCAGGGTTGTGTTTATGGTAAGGAAAAAAAAAAAAAAAAAAAAAAAAAAGAAAAAGAAAAAGTAGAAAGGATAATGTTGTGATCGTGCACTGCCCTCTGCTGGTGACTGATGCAACCTACATAAAAAAATGTTTTATTTAATTTTTTTTTAAAATGGTAGTTAAACATGACCTGGACCTTTTATAATTGGCTATGTCATGAAAAACAAAATAATAAGTTTTTATTAATTATTAACTAATTATTGATTAGGGGGTATTGTGAATGTGAAGGCATTCCATATTTAATCATAAATTACGTTTTCTGTATGTCTGTATTTCAGTCTGGAAAAAGGGACAAAAAGTTAATT